TAATGATGCCTATCCAATTAGTTAAGTCTGCTCCTTGTCCTATTATCAAAGTTATTGATCAGTGCTTCAGCGCCAAGTTAATAATTGTTAACACTTACTCGAACTTCAGTCATCACAGCCTGCCCTTGCACATACTCTATGTTTTCTGAAGATTAAAAGTCTTCTTCAATAACTTAACTTCTTCAACGCTATAAGATGAACCCAATTCAGATGCTTCCTATATACTGACTATTGAAAATTCTCAATTAACCATATACCTATCATATCTCATACCCGTTGAGACATGTATATCCCCTGAACTAGTCACCACCCTTAGCTACTTTTGTGAATTCAGTGAGACGTTCGTTAATACAATACAGTACCAGTCTCCAGATAATCTGAACAGTCACCTTAACCTGTGATCTGCTGCCCGTAACCTTGTTGAGACAATCTCTTGACGATTGTAACACAGATAACCTAACCAGCGAGACTAGTGTCCCATAGTTGAGAGCTGTCCTAATTGTGAACCTGAACGACCGCAAGTGCTTATCACTTCCTACAGTGCCTCTGTCAGTACTCTAACCATTTATTCCCATTGAGTCACAGTGCTCATTCCTTTATCTACCTATTGTCTAACCATCCTTGATCTGAGTTGAATTATCAATGATTCACTTACAGCTTTGTCCAATTGCTTCAACTCTTTGTCTTTTTTTTTTACATTACAGAATTCTCTCACTGCTGCACAATATTTGTTCTGCAATCATCTATTACTTTCCGAACCCTTCCAATTTTGCTAGAAATACTAATAGCACTTGTATCACCTGTTGTCTAACCATAACATCTTCCTATAACAGTCATCTAAGCTGAAGTTTCACAAACGCCGTACCATTAGCACCCCATCAGCACCCCATTTTACAAATATGCATAACACATCACTGATTTCCGTTACTATATATCATGACCACATTACTAATTACCTTATCACATCTTTATCTTTACAGTCAAACTGTGTAAAAGACCACTAAACCAATACTTTTGAATAATTGATCCTTAATACCAGCCCTTGAGAGTTAGCATTCAATTTTATAGCTCAAACCCTAGACTGTTAAAGCTTTGAGTTGACTTTGACGCATCACCATCTGTTTATCACTAGTATGACTTAAAATACTTTCATCTTCTAATACTTAAGCCACAATGATTATAAACCAGACATTACCGATACAAGTATTCACTCAATTCAAGTGCTAATTGTTCCCTACCAGCTAAGCACCATGACTTGTGTACAACCAATCTCCACATCATGTCTTCATAATAATATCCAACTTCTTTAATAACAACTACAATTCCAAGGCTGCCAATTTCACAATTTTTAATGAATAATCATTTTAATCCAATGTACTGTCTCTCAGAAGTAGAGTTTT